TTCATCCAGCCCTGCACCTTGTTGTCTCGGATTCTCCAGCATCTGCAGTTCCTACTATCTCTCATCCTACGTAGTCCGTCTTCACTGGTGAATTGCTCCAGCCCAGGCAACATCCTGGTGAATCTCCTCTGCTCTCTTCAGTACCCCAGCTATGGTATAATTAATGTTACATGCAAGTGCATCATAACTTCCTTCCTCTTCTATTCAGTGCTTTGACTAACAAGCCACATGTGCTTTCTTATCGACCTTATCTGCCTGTCCTACTGTCTTCAGTCAGTGGACCTACAAGCCAAATTACCTCTGGTCGTCTGTAATTCCTAATGTCCAACCATTCAATGCATACTCCCTTGCCTTGATAGTCCTCCCATCACCTCTCACTTTTTAGGATTAAATTCAATTTGCCGCTGTTAAGCCTGTTTGTAGTCTAAGGGTTTCCTCCTCGCTATTTACCACGCCGCTAATTTTCATTTCCCAAGCAAACTTACTGATTATACCTCCTAAATTCATGTCTTGATCATTTAATGTATATTACAAACAACAAAGGATCCAACCCTGTGGTATGCTGTTAAACACAGGCTTCCAGTCACAAAAACATGTTTCGACTATCACTCTATGCCTCTTGTCACTAAGCCAATTTTTGGATCCAATTTAATAAATTGCTCTGGATCCCATGGGCTGTTAGTTTGTTAACCTGTCTGTCATGTGAGACTTTTGTCAAAAGCTTCCAGGTCATTATCACTTGCCTAAATTTCTTAGTTTAACCTCAACTTGGCCTGCAGAAATGTTGCCCAAAATCTTGTATCTGTCCTGTAATCCTTTTACAATCAGCTGATGAAAACAACTTGTACATATCCTAGTTATCTCGATCATAAACATCTCTATCAAATATCCTGTCAATCTCCTCTGTTGCAAAGACAACAATCTCAATTTCTTCAAATTCTGGACTCCCCAAAGCCCATCCAACATCTACAACTCATAAGTCAGGAGTGTGATGGAATAGTTCCCCACTTGCTGGGTGAGTGCAGCCCCAACAACACTCAAGAAGGTTGATACTATCCAGGACAAAGCAACCTTCTTGATTGGCACCACATCCATTACCTTTATTATTCACTCCCCTCACCAAGATGCACAGTGCCAGCAGTGTGTACCATTTACAAGATACGCTGTAGTAACTCACCCGAGCAGTTCTGACAGAATTCTAAAGGTTCTCAACACTTTTAGAACAAAAGTGAAAACCCAAGTTCCAACACCTAGAATTTAAGGCCACAAATGTATTGGAACATGACCATCCAAGCTACACCCATACTGACGACACAGTGGCTGCCCCAAAGCACAAGGACTGCAGTTGCTCTCTGCAGAGGTACAGAATCCATTTCAGTTATCAGTTTTGCGAGTAACATCTTCAAAACGCTCCAAACATTTTCTAAAGGTGATTTCCCTTCTGAAATCCATGCTATGTCCAGTCAAATCATTATAGAATCCCTACAGTATGGAAGGAGGCCATTTGGCCCATCAAGTCCACTCCAACCCGCCGAAGAGCAACCCAACCCCTATCATGCCCTTGTAATCCTGCATTTCCCATGGCTAACCCACCTAGCTTGCACATCCCTGGACATTATGGGCAATTTAGCATGGCCAAACCACCTAACATGCACATCTTTGGATTGTAGGAGGAAACCAGAGTACCCAGAGGGAATCCACACAGACATGGAGAGAATATGCAAACTCCACACAGACAGTCACCTGAGGGTGGAATTGAACCCAGGTGCTGTGAGGCAGTAGTGCTATTCGTTGAGCCACAGTGCTTCCCCAAATGATCATCCAAGTGTCTATTTATCACCCCCTGCTTTAAAACAGATTCTATTATGTTCTCCATGACCATGGTAAGGCTATAACAGGTCTGTAATTCCATGTTTTCTGTCTTGCCCTCTTAAATATTGGTGTGACATTTTCTACCAACCAATCTGCAGGAATTATTCCATATCTATGAAATTTTGGAAAATAATCAGCAATGCATCAATTATCTCTGTAGCAACAACCTTCAACACCCAGGGATGTAGAATATCAGATCCTGGGGATTTATCAACGTTCAACCCATTCATTTATCCAGTACAATATTCTTACTACTACTAATTTTCCTCAGCTCCTCATTCTTCCTAGCCACTTGAATCTCTAATCCTTGAAGATTTCTGGTATCTCCCTCAGTGAAACCAGACATAAAGTTATCCTTTAGCTGCACTGGCACTTTTCTATTCCCCATTTTAAATTCTGCCAACTCCGCCAGTAATGGACTTACTTTTGTTTTAGCGTTTTGTTTTTCATACTTTTGAAGGCTTTACAGTCTTTTTTTTTTAAACTTTTTGCAAGATTGGATTCATGTTCTATACTCCCTTTCCTTGTCAGTTTTTTCTTGGTCCTCCCTTACTGTATTTGAAAAATCTCCCAATCCTCAGGTTTACTGCCATTTCTGGTAACTTTATAGGCCTTTCTTTTAATCTATACAATTCTGAATTTCCTTTATCAGCCTCAATTGACTGCCCTTCTTTTCAATTTTAGCACCTTGAGGGAATGTACAGTTGCTGCACAGTTTGTAGTAGTTTTTTAAAAAACAAATCCATTGCCTATGTACAGTTATGCCTTTTAATGTACGTTTCCAATCAGCCCAGCTAATTTATCATTTGCCTTGTACAAATGTAACTCCTTACTTCACATTGAACTACCTAGCTTTCAAATACAATGTAAAATTCTATAATATCATGGTCATATCTTTCTAGCTGCAGGCTCCTACAGGAGATTCTCAAATGGAAAGCAGTGGAATTGTTTCAAAATTGGTAATTTTAAACGTTCATCTACAACTTAGCACATTTAGTGCTGTGTTCTCTTATCTGTGAGAGGTTCCATGGCTCTGGGGCTGGTGTGATTCCTTTTTAGATCTGAATCAATGTCCATTGCCTCAATGCCATTGTCTACTTTTGTGAGCTTTCCACTGCTGCCCATTCTCCTACCCTTTGTTGCTTACTCACCAGCTTTATCTTCCCACAGTATCTTTCAGTCAGGAATTGTCTTTCCTCTGCCATAGACTATTTCCCTTCTGCTTTTGATCAGAAATTGATGGTTAAATTCTGCACCATTTGTATTTCCCCTAATTCATTCTGCACATCCTGAAACATTAATTCTGTTTCTCTCTCCACAGATACTGCCTGACCTGCTGAGTTATTCCAGCCTTTGCCGTTTTTTATTTCAGACTTTCCCAGCGGCTGCAGTATTTTGCTATTGTTGCAGGCCTGGCTCACGGAATCGAGTCTAGAAACACAGATGGACCAATTCAGAGCCAGCTTCTATCAGCTCGGATATTGGTTCCAGTTTGTAGAGCTTGTGGCATTGGCAGTTGAAAGAATGGGCACCAACGGTGGAGTAATTAAGGTCCCCAATGCTCGAGAGGCTGGAAGAGTGGAGATGCTTTGGATGCTTGTGAAGCTGTAGGAGATTACACTAATCAGAGGACTCCTGGAGGGACTTGAAAATAGGTATATCTTAAATAAGAGCCTTTGTAGATTAGCAAGCACAGGGGTTATATTGAACAAGACTTGGTGCGAGTAGGGTTTTGGATGTCCTTGAGATTACAGGGAGGTTTAATGTGAAGGTTGGCTGAGAGTGTGTTATAGAGTCGTACAGCAGGGAAACTGACCCTTCGGTCCAAATCGTCCATGGTGACCAGAGATCCTAAATTAATCTAGTCCCATTTGCCGGCATTTGGCCCATAGCCCTCTAAACCCTTCCTATTCATGCACCCATCTAGATTAGGGTAGTTAAGTCTCGAGGTAACAAAGAAATAGATGAGAGTTACAGCAGAAGATGAGCTGATACTGTGTGGAATTGGGTTACTGAGGTGGAAATAGACAGTCTTGGTGATAATGGGGAAATGTGGTTGGAAGTTCATCTTGGGGTGAAATATTTCACCGTGGTTGTAAATAGTCTGGTTCAGCCCCATACAATTACCAAGGAGAGGGATGGAGTCAATGGCAAGGGAGTAGAATTTGTAGTGGGGACTTGAGACAAGGGCTTGAGTTTTCCTAATATTTAAATGGAGGAGACTTCTGCTTATTCTGAACAGGATGTCACACAAGTTAGGACAATGTGTTACTTAGAGGTGATAGTGGTCAAGTATACCTGGTATCCTCGTGGTTGAGGTTTCAGAGATTCTGTCAAACTTATGGTTCAGCTGTAGATACATAAATCCCTCTCCTTCAATCCGTGTGGTCCCCAAACCCACTGACCCTCCTTCTGTGTCTCTCTTTGTGTTTCTTTTTCTCCTCCCGTAGAGGCCACATCTTTATGTAAGCCCAAACAGAGTGGCAGGTTCCCCTTCCTCATGGACATTACTGAACTAGTTAGGTTTTTTGACAATTCAGCAACTTTTATCACTTTTACCTGGTGCCTGCTAGATTACACTGTTCATTCTGCTCAATTTCACACTCGCCTTTATGTTTTTATCGCTTCTCCCTCACGCCCGTTTTTTCTGTTTTGTTTCAACTCATTTTCACAGGTTAATAGAGGGAGATATTTTTGCACTAGGGGAAACTGCAACCAAACATCGCACCGGGATCTGACAAAGTTGCACAAATTATCATAACCTCAATATCGTGGGATTTTGAACATGGAAAGAAAGAGCACGGCTCACAGTGAAGAGAAACCATATATGTGTTCTGTGTGTGGACAAGAGTTTAGCCGATCATCTGACCTGTTGGAACATAATTGCAGTCATGGGAAGGACAAGAGCTGGACATGTGGGGACTGTGGGAAGGGATTCAATTACCCATCTCAGCTGGAAGCTCACCGTCGTTGTCACACTGGGGAGAAACCATTCACCTGCTCCAAATGCGAGAAGGGTTTTACTGCCTTATCTACCCTGGTGATACACCAACGTGTTCACACTGGGGAGAAACCTTTTAAATGTCTAGTCTGTGGGAAGTGCTACAAGCGTTCTGGGGAATTGATGGCTCATCAACGTGATCACACTGATGAGAGACCTTTTAAATGTACACACTGTGGGAAATGCTATAAAACGTCTGGGGAACTGATGTCCCACCAACGTGTTCACACTGATGAGAAACCATTCAGGTGTTCTCACTGCGGGACTGGGTTCAAGAGATCATATGAGCTCACTGTGCACCAGCGAGTTCACACAGGTGAGAGGCCGTTCATCTGCTCAAAGTGTGAAAAGAGATTCACTTGTTCGTCCAACCTGCTGAAACACCAGCGACTTCACACAGGGGAGAGGCCGTTCACCTGCCCCGACTGTGGGAAGGGGTTCACTCAGTTATCCAGCCTGCAGGTGCACCAGCGAATTCATACAGGGGAGAGGCCATTCACTTGCTCAGAGTGTGGGAAGGGGTTTATCCAGTCGTCGAAATTGCTGACACATCAGCGATTTCACTCTGGGGAGAGGCCATTCACCTGCTCTGAGTGTGGGAAAGGATTCACAACCTCTTCCCACCTGCTGACACATCAGCGAGTTCACAAGTAGTGACAAGTGATTTGTATTTTGCTGGGGTTGATGTTAATCACATCCAGGACTGAACCATGTTCACTGGGGTCTGATTTAGGTGCTGTTACTGAACTTCTTATAAGGTCTAATATTCCAGCCAAAAGTCAAATAAATAAGCTTTGTGTTCAGTACACAGTATGTGGAATCTTGTTACTATCTCTAACTCAAGTTAGTTTGTTTCGAAGGAATCTCCTCTATCCTCACATCCAGCAACAAGTGTGATGAGCTCATACAGCTTTTTTGTCATTAAGTTGGAAACTATCCGATTAGCTGCCTCTGCTGCTTCCCTCACTTACATTAGTCCAGCAGACTAAACTGTCTTTTAATATTCCATTTGAGTGTGAACCTATATCTTCCTTCAGTTTCTTTCCCATCTCCACACGTAATCACTATAGGTACTCCTCTTGTTCCTGGTGCCCACCTCTTGCTCCCAGAAAGTAGTCACAAAGCCTCCCACATTCACTGATATTATAGATGGTTTTTGCTATCTCTTTCTTCAGGTTTTACCCCTCTTTTCCTCAAATATGCAATTATCAACCCCTTCTACAAGGACGCACCCTTTACTCGACTGTCCTTACAAACCGCCATCCAATCTGCAATTTCATAGAATCATCATAGAACCCCTACAGTGTGGAAACGGGCCCTTCGGCCCAACAAGTCCACACCAACCTTTGCAGCATCCCACCCAGACCCATCCCCCTATAACCCACCTAATCTACACATCCCTGAACACTATGGGCAATTACGCATGGCCAATTCACTTAGCCTGCACATCTTTGGACTGTGGAAGGAAATCAGAGCACCCGCAGGAGACTCAGGCAGACGTGGAGAACATGCAAACTCCACACAGTCAGTCACCCAAGTGTGGAATTGAATGTGAGTCCCTGGTGCTGTGAGGTAGCAGTGCTAACCACTGTGCCGCCCATAATTTCTCTTATGTCTCCAGAGTTCTTGAATGTTTCATCACTTTACCAGATTTCTACCTATCATTCCTGCAACTCCGTGTTCAAATCCCTCTGATTACAGTTCTGCCCCTACCACAGTATCAGATCTCATCTTTATCAAAGTCACAATTGACATCCTGTGTCCTGGAGTGTGGTATTCTCCTGCCTTATCATTCTTGACCTGTCTGCAGCGTTTGACATGTTGATCAACCTGTCCTCCTCCAACTCCTCTCCACTGTTGTCCCATTGGCTGGGAGTGAACTATTCCAGTTCCTTTTATTTCTTAGTTTTAGAATGATGAGCAGCAGCTTTATTTCCCCAGTTAAATACTGGAAACACCAGCAAAAATAATAAAATTAACAGGAGGCAGGGTGATTTAAGATGCACCAGAAGCCAGGGAATCTAATTAGTTTACATTTCTAAGGAATTAAATTTGCAGATACAGGGCACTCAAAGCGAATAAATAACAGTAAATAGTTAAATTATTCAATCACTCTACTGTTCTGTTGGACTTTCAAATTTCTATCATTTTGTCTATGTTTTAACTTTTCAACCATCAAAATCCAATAGTTCATATTTCTCTGTATTTGATTTGATCTGCTTTTTATCTGGCCTGTTGGAATTACACAATACAGAAGTAAGCCATTCAGGCTATTCTGTCCGTGCAGGCTTTCTGCTAGAATAATTCCCCTGGTGCCCGGCTTCTACGTTTTCCCCATTGCCCTGCAAATGTTCCCCTTCAGCCAATGATCCAAATTTCTTTTGAGCAATGCATTCCAGATGATAACTTTTTGTGTGAAAAGAAAGAGAATTTTATATCTGAGATAACAAGGCGTAGAGCTGGATGAAAACAGCAAGCCGAGCAGGAAAGCTGGCGTTGCGGGTCTGGACCCTTCTCTGATGCTGCTTGGCCCGCTGTGTTCATCCAGCTCTACACCTTGTTATCTCAGATTCTCCAGCATCGGCAGTTCCTACTATCTCATAATTTTATATCTGCGGCTTTAATCTTAATCAAAAATCGCTGTCTTTTAAACAATAATAATATTACATTTCAACGCTACTAATTTAATCCGAACACACGACTCGCTTCATCTTCCTGCGGAACAGCTTGGCTCAAGCGTACTGGCTGTCTACGCATAGAGCATGCGCGGTCCGAACGCTGGCGGGAACCTGAGGCGCTCAGGTTGGATCAGGGAGGTGAGCAGGGAGGAATGGAGACAGCGGTGGGGACTAATTTATCCGGAGAGTGGGTGAGGAGGCTTTATAAACAACTGCTGTAGGCCACAAACCGTGAATAAGAAGCTCCCGGATCAGGTTCGCTCCGATTTGACAAATACCTCTTTTCTCCTGAAAACAGGACCGAATGGACCACCGCCATCTTTGTAGGGGGCAACGGGTAGTGGAGCGCATGCTCAACCGCCATCTTTATAGGGGGCAATCTGCTGCCGTGCATCTTGTAAGCAGCCGACACTGCAGCTTTTGTGGATTAATGATAGGTGGAGTGAATGTGAAAGGGGGTGATGGGGGAACGGTAAAACATCAGGTTTTGTCCTGGGTGGTCCTGGGTTCCGCAGTGTCCATGGTGTCATACTCACCATCTGTCAACTTGCTGACAACTCATTTAACCTGTCCATATAACTTTGCATTCATTTGTGTCCCTCTCACGACCCTGTGTTCCCACTTCTGTCTGTGAGTTTACTCATCCAGGCAAGTGAAGAAAATTCCATTGTACAACTGGCCTGTGCCTTGTAGTTGATGAACAGGCTTTGAGGAGTCGGGAGGTAAGTTAAAACTGCATAAATACTGTTTGGTAGCATGGTTGACAACATCTGTCATAACTTTGCTGATTGTAGAGAAGAGAATTATTGGGAGGAGCTGTTCATATGGATTCATTGTCAGTTGCCAATGTTGCAGCTATACTGGAACAGATTAGTTAGAGGTATAGCAAAGTCAAACCAAGAGATTTTCCATTCTGAATTGAATGTAATAGCTTTTATTGAATGTAATAGCTTGTATTGCAAGTGGAAGATTTACATTCAGGAAACTCTAACCAACCATCACATTGAGATCTGACAGCATTTGGATTCATCAGGACCTGGATATTTGTGTCATTAGAGTGTAAGGATTCCCTGGAAACATCGTTCTCACTTCTTTGTAAATCTACACCAGAATGGTGGTGGTGGTGGTGGTGGTGGTGGTGGTGGTGGGGTTGGGGGGGCAGGCGTGGTGGAAAGGGAGGCATTCAGGGTGAAATTAGTGATATTACAGGCCTAACAGGTTCCCCTTTGGGGTGAAATGTAGGAGCAACAAGCCCAGAAAACCTTGGATGTTTAGGAATATTTGGGATTGGATAAGAAGAAAAAGAAATGTTTTTAACAGATACAAAGGGAGCAAATCAATGGAGAGCCTGGTGGAGTATAGAAAGTGCAGGGTGATCTTAAGAAAGCAATTAGGAGAACAAAGAGCGGGAATGAGAAAACACTGGCAGCAGAATTAGGGAGAATGCCAAGCTTTCTATAAGTATATCAAGGGGAAGAGAGTAACTAGGTATAGAGTAGGGACCAAGCAGGCAATATGTGGCTGGATCCAGAAGGTTGTGCTGAATGAGTACTTCATATCTGTCTTCAATTTGGAGAAGGAAAATGTGGGTTCAGAATTTGCGAACAGGGACTGTGAGGTGACTGAGCATTTGAAATGTCATAACATTCAAGGCTATGAGCCTAGTGCGGCAAAATGGGACTAGCATAGATTTAGGGTTCTTTTTCTGTTGGTGCAGGCTTGATTGGCCAGAGGGTCTGTTCTGTACTATATGATTCTGTGATAGGTCTCGTCAAAAATTGTAAATTCTTGGCCCTTATTCCTTTTTTGATTAGCTAAAGAGAACTTCTTTTCTTAATCTACATTATCCATATGTTTCAGAATGTTGTGTAAATCCACCTAATCTCCCTCTGATCTACTTTGCTGCAAGAGGAACCATTTTCTCAAAGTTGACCTTTAAAATTGAGACTTAAAGTCCCTCATCCCTCAAACTAATCTGGTAAATCTCCTCAGTACCCCCTCTCAGACATCCTCCCTCCCATCCTTCACGATTTTTGGTGATATCTGGTTCGCACAGACCCAGATACTCTGTGTTCCTGTCTCTGATATCATCACGCAGCGACAATTGCACGGTGGCATCAGCCACTCACTGGGGTATTTCCTCAACTGTGAGATTTTTCTCTGTCTCCATTGTTTCTGGTCTCTTTCCAGCTCAGGCTCCAGCAGGAGATCTTCAAATCGAAAACTGGAAATGCTCAGAGGTGATTATTCTGAGCATTTGCCCACAATACATATAGCACATTATATGCCTGCCTTGAAAATGTCAGAGGAAGGTAAATTCTTGGGAAGATCAGACTGTAAAACAGACACTACGCTTAAAATGTAAAAGAGGACTGAGAAAGTCCTGGGGGGGCTCAGTGGTCAGCACTGTTGCCTCACAGCACCAGGGACCCGGGTTCGATTCCACCCTTGGGCGACTGTCTGTGTAGAGTTTGCACATTCTCCCCGTGTCTGCTTGGGTTTCCTCCGGGTGCTCCAGTTTCCTCCCACAGTCCAAAGAAGTGCAGGCTAGGTGGATTGGCCATGCTAAATTGCCCATAATGTATGGGGATGAGTCCAGTTGGGATGCTCTGAGGGTTGGTGTGGACTTTTTGGGCCAAAGGGCCTGTTTCCACACTGTAGGGATTCTATGAAAGGAGCAAGTGTTTCCACCAATGATTTTAATTTAATTTGCACATACGTAATGTTTGATTTTGTTTTTGGATTTTAAGTTGTCAGTATCAAGGGCATGGAGAAGTTCCCACTCATGCGACAAAAGAGCACCTACAATGCTGAGAGGGAAGGAGTTACGGATTCTTTGCCCAGGGAAGATGAAGGAATGCCAATATCACCATCATCAAGGATAGGGATGGAGACAGTTAGGGAATGGGGTTTGTAGTAGGTCCTGGAGACAATGCCTGCTGTTGTTCCAATATTTAAATAGAGGAAATTCCTGCTCATCCAGTACAGGATGTCAGACATGTCAAGAGAGGGTGTGACTTGGTAGGAATTTGTAGGTGATGGTGTTTACATGCAACTGCGATCCTGGTCCTTCTGGCTGGTGACAGTTAAGGATTTGGAAAATTCTATCAGAGTCCCATTCAAGGTGAAGATTTGTTCAAACTCTCTTCTTCATCCCGAATCTCTCCCGCTTCTTTCTCTGTCATACTGTCTCCACTTTGTCCCAAAGGAGTCAGAGTCCTATGTAGATCCAGACTGTGACAGGTTCTGTCCTTCGAATATGTTGTTGAAGCAGTGGGTTCTTATGACAGTCCAACAACTTCTGTGGTCATTTTATCCATTGTGCTGGCCCCACAAATTACCAGCTTCAATCAGCTCAATTTCACATGGCTTTGTGTTTTTGAGAGTTCTGTCTCACTATTTTCTGTTTTAAAATCAATTTCACAGGGTCTTAGAAAGGAGGATTTGTAGTCGGGAAACAAACCAAATGTAACATCAGGACCTAACAGATGTGACCAATTCATTGCAATGTGAATATCATCAGATGTTGAACATGGAAGGAAAAGGTACCATTCGTGGTGGGGAGAAACCATACACATGTTCTGTGTGTCGACAATGCTTCAGCCTATCATCTGATATGTTAGGACATAAATGCAGCCAGAATGTGGAGAAACCGTGGAAATGTGGGGACTGTGGGAAGGGATTCATTTCCCCATCGAAACTGGAAACTCATCGGCGCAGTCACACCGGAGAGAGGCCATTCACCTGCTCTGGGTGTGGGAAGGGCTTTACCACATCATCCCACCTGCAGAGGCACCAGCGAGTCCATGCTGGGGAGAGGCTGTTCACCTGTAATGAGTGGCAGAAGGGATTCACATCTTCCTCTGGCTCGGTAACACATCAGCAAGTTCAAACTGCAGAAAGATCTTTTAAGTGCCCGGACTGTGGGATGTGCTACGCAAGTTCTGAGAGACTGATGTCCCATCAGTGTGCTCACGCTGACGGGACACCATTCCGGTGTTCCCATTGTGGGACTGGATTTGAGACATTGCCTGAGCTCACCGTGCACCAGCGTGCTCACACTGGGGAGAAGCCGTGGAAATGTGGCGACTGTGGGAAGGAATTCAGTTACCCCTCTGAGCTGGAAACCCATCACCGCACTCACACTGGTGAGAAACCATTCACATGCTCTGACTGTGGGAAGGGATTCACTCGGTCTTACCAGCTGATGACACATCGGCGAGTTCACACAGGGGAGAGACCATTCACCTGCTCTGAGTGTGGGAAAGGATTCACAAATTCATCGGATCTCCTGATACACCAGCGAGTTCACACTGGGGAGAGAGCATTCACCTGCTCTGTGTGTGGGAAGGGATTCACTACCTCGTCTACCCTGGTGACACACCAGCGGGTTCACACCGGGGAGAGGCCCTTCACCTGCTCTTTATGCGGGAAGGGATTCACTCGGTCATCCACCCTGGCAATGCACCAGCGAGTTCACACCGGGGAAAGGCCATTCACCTGCTTTGATTGTGGGAAGGCCTTCACTCAGTTATCCAGTCTGCTGAGACACCAGCGAGATCACAGTGGAGAGAGGCCCTTCACCTGCTCTCAGTGTGGCAAGGGATTCACTCGGTCATCGACCCTGTTGAAGCATCAACAAGTTCACCAGGAACTACAGTGATTGTACTTTGTTGAAAAGCATACAAGAACTGAATCTCATGTTCATTGGGGTCTGTTTCTGCTCATTGAATAGAATTCAGCACATTAAGTTGAACATACAGGATTAACGTCAAATAAAGTTGTATTGAAGACACAGTGTGTTGAACCTTCTTAATATCTCTAATAGAAGATAGTCCTTTTTAAATAGCTCTCCTTTTCCCCTGTCTCTTCCATCCTCCCTTCTGAGTTAAGGATCTCGTGGAGCTTCATTGTCACTACATGGTGAAAGCATTTGATAAGGTACTGCACATTATCTTATTAAGTAACATAACAGACCATGGTGTTGGAGATAGTATATTAGCATGAATTCAGGATTATCTAACTAATAGAAGACTGAGAATTGGGAATAAAGGGGGGCATTTTTGGAATGGCAACCTGAAACTAGTGGAGTGCCATAGGGATCCATGATTGGCTAACAAATTATTTACAATACATATTAATGACTGGGATGAGGAAAGCGAATGTACTATAGCCAAGTTTGCAAATGACACAAAAAGGGAAGGCATAAATCACAAAAAGTTAGCATACAAGTTCAATGGCTAACAGGGAAGGCAAGTATAATGTTGTCATTTACTTCAAAGGAAATTGAGTATAAAAATAGAGAACTGATGCTAAAACTGTACAAGGCACTAGTAGATGACAGTTGGAATACTGTGAACAGTTTTGGGGCCCTTGTATAAGAAAGGTTATATATATATCCTAGCATTGGAGGCAATACGGAGAAGGTTCGCTGGGCTGATCCGGGGTATGGAGGGGCTATCTTTTGAGAAGAGGTTGAGTAGTTTGGGTCTGTACTCATTGGAGTTTAGAAGAATCAGTGGTGAACTTATTGAACAATAAGATCCTTGGCATTCTTCTCCCCTCGTCCCCTCAGAGCGAAACTGCCGTTCATTCAACTTGCTCCAGCTCCAAAACCTGACACTGAATTAAGTTACTCACTGCTGTGTGTGATTCCCTCAGATAATTGCATGGTCTTCTGAATGTCCATTTCGCTAACAGATGTTGAGGTGTTGCATCAACATCACAGGGTCTCCTCTGTTTAAAGCCACAAACAAATGTCCAGTATTCTCTGGGAGTCCGACCATCCATTCTGAATAGCTGTCACTCTAATTTTAAGGCTTTCAGTAGTAATGCATTGATCCAGGTCATTCTTCCTAACACCGCCCTATATCCCCATCTGCGTTCCAGATTTACATAGGAACACAGAAACAGCAGTAGGCCATTCAGCCGCTTAAGCCTATTTCCACCACTCAATGACATCATGGCTAACTCCATATGCCTTTGGCCCATGTCCCTTAATACATTTGCTTAACTAAAGTTTATCTGTCTTAGATTTAAAATGAACAACTGATCCAGCATCCACTGCTGTTTGTGGAAGAGGTTCCAAATATCTACTGCCCTTTGTGTGTGTACAAGTGCAGCCTAACATCTCTCCTGAATAAACAAAAAACTGAAAGAATTGTGAATGCTCGAAATCAGAAACAAAAACATAAATTGTTGGGAAAACCGAGCAGTTTGGGCAGCATCTGTGGAGAGAAATCAGAGTCAACGTGACTTCTGAAGAAGGGTCACTGGAGCTGAAACGTAAACTCTATTTTCTCCCTCCACATGATGCCATACCTGTCGAGATTTTCCAGCAAATTTTTATCTCACCTGAACGATTTGGCCCTATTTCTCAGACTGTGCCCCTTAGTTCTAGAATCCCCAATCAGAGGAAATAATTTATCTACCCTGTCTTTTCCTGTTAATACCTTGATGACTTCGATCTGATCACCCCTTAACCTGCTGAATGTTAGAGAAAACATTGTGATTGCTGAATATTGAAAACTATTGACATTCTTTATCTCTCAATGCCTCCTTCCATGTTGTTTTTGAAATGAATTTCACGTTCTCTCCAACTGGTCCGCATCCTGATCTATGCTTAGCCCTGCCCTCGTTCCCCGCGTTGGTTGGAGTGCTAATGGTACCAGCTCCGCCTGCCAGTCCCACCCCGTCTGTTTGTATTGGTTCGACCTGCTGTCAATTAGCCGGGCGCCGTTGGAAATGGTGAGGATCAGGTTGATCGGAGGAAGCGATAAACCTGGCAGTGGCTGGGTGGGGAGGCTTCGGAAACACACTGTGTCAGCCGCAGACCTCGAAAAAGCGGCTCATGTTTACACCAATCCGCCGACGGCTCCAGGATCTCTTCCAGTGGCATGACTGGAGAGAGGGAGAGGCAATTTCTCTGCTCCATGATGGACAGGGTCCAGCTGATTCATCCAATCTGTCGGAACGCTAACTTTATGCGTTACCAACGAGTTTGCATACTGTTGTTTCTGCTGCATATCACCTCCAGGGCTGAACCGTTTTATTCTTTCAAATTCTAGATTGTTCTGGTTCTCAGATTTTCAGTAACTGTCATGAACTCTAATACGCTCTGTACAGTTGTAACAAGAATTTCCTGTTTTTAAACTGCAATTCTGAGCAATAAAGGCCAGAAATCCGTTGCCTTCTTAGTTACTTGTTGTATCCACGTTCTAATTTTGCATGTTTCATGCACAATTATCCCTCTATGCTGCACACTTTGGAATCTGCCTCCATTCAAATAATAGCCTGCTTTTTAATTCTTCCTATTAAAGTCCATGACCTCACACTTTCCTATATTAAATGCCAATATTTTGCTGACTCCTCAACCTATCTATATCCTCTTAGAGATTCTTTGTAATATCGTTACAACATGCCCTTCCACGTATTTTTGTATCATCAGCAAATCAGCATTACATGCTGCCCTCTCCTTCAAGTCTTTAATATCGTAAAGTGGCTTCAGGAGGATTTGGACAGGCTTAGTGACTGGGTAGGAACATGAACTGGAAAATAATATAGAAAAATGTAAAGTTATCCTCATTGATAGGAAGAATAGATGTGAAGAATATTTCATAATGGTGACACATTGGAAAGTGTAGGGGTGCAAAGGGACCTGGGTGTCCTAGTCGATAAGTCACTGAAGGCTAACATGCAGGTGCAGCAAGCTATTAGGAAGGTTAGTGGAATATTCGCCTTTACTGCAAGAGGATTTGAGCACAGGAGTAGTGAAGCCTTGCTTCAATTGTATAAGAGCTTGGTTAGAACGTATCTGGAGAAGTGTGTGTGCAGGTTTGGTCTCCTTAAATCAGGGAATATATTATTGCCATACTAGGGAGTGCAGCAAATGTTTCAAGGATAGCATAGCTACCTTGTGAACAGAGATTTTGCAAACTGGGCCTATATTCTCTGTAGTTTCGAATAATGAGTGATTCTCATTCAAACTTAGAAAATGCCTCAAGGCATAGACAAAATGCTTTCCCTGGTTGGGAAGACTAGAACCAAGGGGCTCAAATTAAAAATAAGTGGGTGCACTTAGGTCTGAGATTAGATTTTTATTTCACTCAGAGGTTGGTGAAGCTTTGGAATTATGTACCACAGAAGGTTGTAGAAGTTCAGTATTTGGGTATGTTTAAGGTACAGATCGATGGAGTGGAGTACAGGGTTATGGGGATGATGGGCAAGAGTCATTGAAGTTTTCAATCTGCTATGATTGTATTGAATGGCGGGACAGGCTGAGTGACTTATACCTATTTTACTGTGTAAAAAGTAAATAACTGAGGTTCTAATAGCATTTGACTAGTTATATTTCCCCCATTAATCGTAATTATCTGTTTTCTGTGTATTGACAAATCCTCAGTCAATGACAATATGTTACTTCTAATACCATGAGCTCCTATCTTGTGCAATATCCTTTTAAGTGGCACCATATTGAATGCCTTCTGCAAGTCCAAGTATGCTACATCTAATCACTCCCCTTTATCAACTCTGCTTATTTTAGTGTCTCCAAGAACTCTTGCAAATGTGTCAAATATGATTTCCCTTTCACAAAGCCATGTATAACTCGTCTGTCAGAAATGCTCTGAGTTCAACAGAAAAGAGATGGCAATTATATTTAGAATTGGGCACTCAAATCGAGAAGCTGGTTCCTGCTGAGAATGGAATATTTTAAGCCTTCCCAGGTCTGCACCGAGTGCTCCCAAAAGATGCTGAGTTGCGGGTCAGTTTGTTCTCTTCCATCTGTACATTTTCAGCTCCAACTTGCGAGAATCCTCTCCCATCTGTATAACTCACTTGTTCAGCTTCAGCTGGAGTACTGCATGCAGTTCTGAGCTCTGGATTTTAAGAAGCATGCAGAAGCAGAGATGATGGTACAGATGAGATGCACAAGTTTCCTGAAGGAAGAACATAAGTTATAAAGATAGGTGGGAAAAGCTGGGACTGTTCTTCTGGGAGAAGTGGAGTCTGAGAGAAGGTCTCATTGAAGTATTCAAAATTACGAGAGGTCTGGACAAACTAAATAGGGAGAAAATACCCCCACTGGGGAAATGATTGGAAATGAGAGGGATTTAAAGTGATTAGTAAAGGAAGCAAAAGTGATACAAGGAAAAACGTTTTGATGCTATGAGCAATAAAGTTCTGGTCTGTACTCCTTGAAAGTCTGGTGGGGACAGTTTCAATGAGGAATTCAAAACGGATTTTGTTTATTTGAAAAAGAAGAACATACAGGAAAATGGGAGATGGCAGAAGAATAGTGCTAAATGACATGTTCATTCCAAAAGTCACGGCATCCATCGTGGGCCATAACAGCGGGTGGGTGTTGAACTATTGTATCACTCTCTGGCTCAAATTGGTGTCAGTACAACTAATGTCCTAACTTTTTTTTTGGTTGTCCAGCTCCAGTTTTCTCTCATTAAGAAAATAACACAAATCCTGGGCACGGAAATTGGGAACTTCAATGGTGCATCGTCTACCCAGACTTCTGCGGAGGGTAGAAAGTTCCCCATCCACATAACAGGAGAGCGGTGAGCAGGCGCAGAAGGGAAAGCACATGGAACATGCGCGAATCGGGTGATGCCGATAGACAGCGTCTTGTTTCTCGGCTCCAAAAAGGTTAAAAATAAGGCGGGAAGAAGGAAGCGATGAATCGGGTGGTGAGACGGAGAGAAGTCGCGAACATCTTGTGTAAGCCGAAAACCCCCGAATAAGAACCTCCCGGTTTTACCTTGGCAGAAGTGGAACTAAGACTCCAGGCGTCCTCCCAGAGATAGGCCCCAGGGACCAGCCGCCATCTTTATTTGGGGCACTGGACCCCCAAGTAGCCAAAGTGGCTTCCATCTTTGTAAGGGGCAATACTTGGAATGCCCGAGGAGAGCTTTTTTTAAAAAATACGGGATGTGGGCCTCTTTGGCTAGGCTAGCATTTATTGCCTATCCCTAATTGCCCAGAGAATAGTTGACAGTCAACCACATTGCTGTTGGCCTGAAGTCACATGTAGACCAGACCAGATAAGGATGGCAGATTCCTTCTGTAAAGGGCATTAATGAATCAGATTTCTGTCAATCAACAATGGTTTCATAATCATTAGACCCTTAATTCCAGATTATTTAATGAATTCGAATTCCATCTGCCATTGCGGGATTTGAACCTGAGTATCCAAAACATTAGCTGAATTTCTGAATTAACAGCCTAGTTAATTAATTAATACCACCATTGCCTCCCCTTTGCTGCTTATTGTTCAGAATGGAGAGAACTTGTCCATCAAGTTGCATGAACCTTTCACAGTCAAAGTCATATTGATGAGGCAGAGCAGTGGCACAGAAGGAAAGAAAAGGAAGCAAATTGTGCTCTCCAGGTGGGATGTCTTGCCCCAGATGTCCAAAGGTCTGCAGCTGTGTTCAGTTACACAAAGACCTAGGGTACAACTTGTGACCCTGAATAGACATCATCCTTGAATTGAGGGAATGCAAACCACAATGAGCAGCAGTGTGCAATAGGAAGCATGCACGGTCATCCTGAGTCAGAAGGAGGGGAAGTTGTGAATTTATAACTTGGACTGACAGTGACTGATTCTGAGAATTTTTTTTACAGGATATTACAACAAAATTCACAGTTTGGAAAATCCAAGTACGTCCAATCACATCAAAATCTGACAGAATTATTCAGTACATCAGGACTAGGACGTAATCAGCCTTTGAAAGTAAGTATTGAATTGCAGTACACACCCGCTCACTGTGTAATATGTCATCCTCATTTCCTCCCTGTAGATCTTCCCCCAAAGTGTTAAATCTGTATCCTGCAATCATTTTACCATCAATGAACGGGATAATTTTTTTTAACTACCTAATTTAAACCAACTACAAACGTGTGTAATTTGATCAAATGGCCTCTTTATGACAATGAAATCAGATCCAATTTCTTTGTTCTAACCTTTTGATTAACATCCCCCATCCCATTCCATCTCACAAAACATTCCGGTCAAAATCCTCAGGGACCCTCCCATTCTTCACAATGTGTGGTGATTTCTGGTTTGCACAGACACTGATGCTCTGTGTTTCTTTGTGTGATGTCATCATGCAGCGACAATGGCACAATGACATCACCCATTTTGCAGAAATTTCCTCAACTGTGAGATTTTTCTCTGACTCCAGTGCACCTTATAAGTTTACAGTTGCAGACTCCAGCAGGAGGTTTTCAAATTGAAAACAGTGATACATTTTCAGAGGTATTTCTGCCATTCATCCACAATGAAGAGATTTTAGTGCTGCACTCTGTTATCTGTTAAAGGTTCCATGGAGTGTTTTAGATAGTTTTTGCACTTTACTGTTTTAATAAATGGGAGCCTTTGCAGATCATTGAGCACATGAATGATGGATGGACAAGACTTGATGCAACTATGCACATGGAGTAGGAGGAATGTGAGCCTGGTGGAGATTACAGAGATAGGGAATTTTATGAACCTGGATGAGTTTACAGAGTTAGTGTATGTTGTGAGGCTGGAGGATGTTAAAGAGATTGGGAGGATTGTGAGGCTGAGATATGACAGAGATGGGGAGAACTGGATCATGGAGGGAACTGAAGAGGAGGATGAGTACTTTACAGCTTTGCTACTTCTTAACCAAGATTATTTATGGGTCATTGAGCACAGGGAGGATGGATGAACGAGTCTTGATGTGAATCAACAGACGAGCGACAGATTTTGGATGACCTCAAGATTACGAGATGGGTTGAAAGTGGGAGGCTGGCTGTAAGTGTGTCCGGATAGAGAAGGGGAATGGTAACAAATGAATGGATGAGCGTTTCAGCAGCAGATGAGTCGAGAATAGGGTGGAGTCAGCTGATATTACTGACACGGAAATAGGTGGTCGTGGTGATGACGGGATAGGCGTTTGGAAGTTCATCTTGGGGTGAAGTATCTCCCCAGGGCTGTGAACAGTCTGGTTCAGCCTCAGACAGTTACCAAGGAGAGGGATGGAGTTGGTGGTGAAGGAATGGAGTTTGTAGCAGGGACTGAAGGCGATGACTTCAGTCTTCCCAATATTTAAACGGAGGAAATTTCTACTCATCCAGTACTGCTGTCAGCCAAGGCAGGACAGTGTGTGACTGGGAAGTGCTGGTGTTCACACACACCTGCTACATTAGTCCTTCCAGGTTCTGACAAAGTTTTGATCAAGTTATAGATGCATAAAATCCATTTCTCCTCCCTGCCTCCTCCCAAGAGGCCAGAGTCCTTGAATGACATCAAGGCATCAAACAGGTTTTTATCACAACTTTCTTGGTCACTTTTGCCTAGTGCCAGATCCATACATTACCAAATTCATTCAGTTCGACTTCACAAGTTGCCTTTGTGGTTCTATGGGTTCTCTCTCACACTCCCTTTCTTCTATTTTAAATCAATTTCACAGAATTGTAGAACAGGAGGATTTTCAGTCAGGAAACAAACACCAAATATCACTTCAGTTTCTGACAGAGTGGTCTATCTTACTGTAACCTGCATATCTTCAGATTTTGAACATGGATGAAAAAAGTACCATTGACAATGGGGAGAAACTGTACACGTGTTCTATGTGTGGACGAGGATTCAGCCAATCACCTGACCTGGTGGGACACGAGTGCAGTCATAGTGCTGACAAACCTTGGAAATGTGGGGACTGTGGGAAAGGATATAGATCCCCATCTGAGTTGGAAACGCATCAGCGCAGTCACACTGGAGAGAAACAGTTCACTTGCTCTGATTGTGGGAAAGGATTCACTCGGTCATCCACCTTGTTGACACACCAACAGGTTCACTCTGGAGAGCGACCATTCACCTGCTCTGTGTGTGGGAAGGGATTCACTCAGTTATCAAACTTGCTGAGACACCAGCAGGTTCACACCAATGAGAGACCTTTTAAATGCACAGACTGTGGGAAGTGCTATAAAAGTTCTGGGGAATTGATTCGCCATCAACGTGTTCACACTGACGAGAGACCATTTAGGTGCTCTCACTGTGGAGCTGGGTTCAGGACATCATCTGACTTCCTCATACATCAGCGAGTTCACACTGGTGAGAGACCATTCACGTGCTCTGAGTGTGGGAAGGGATTCACTCGCTTATTTCAGCTGCAGGAACATCAGCACAGTCACACTGGGAAGTGGCCATTCACCTGCTGCGAGTGTGGGAAAGGATTCATTCAGTCATCTGGCCTGTTGACACACCAGCGAGTTCACACTGATGAGAGGCCTTTTAAATGTCCTGACTGTGGAATGTGCTTCAAAAGTACTGGGGAACTAATGTCCCACCAACGTATTCACACCAATGAGAAGCCATTCAGATGCTCTCATTGTGGGACTGGGTTTAGACGATCATCCCACCTCACTGTACACCAGCGAGTTCACACGGGGGAGAGACCATTCATTTGCTCCGAGTGTGGAAAAGGATTTGCTCAGTCATCCCACCTGCTGACACATAAGCGGGTTCACAGTGGCGAGAGGCCATACACGTGCTCTGAGTGTGGGAAGGGTTTCACTCGATCATCCCACCTGCTGAGGCACCAGGGAGTTCACAAGTAACTACATTGGTAGGATTCTTCTGTTAATCACACCCAGGAATGAACATTGATTAATGGGATCTTTTTCTGCTGATTTTAAGGAAATAAAAATCAAATAAATCACCTTTGTGTAAGATGCACAATATATTGTGTCTTTTTAACATCTCTAACACACTTCTGAAGGGCTCGCAATCCCCTCTGACTAATTCATCCTTACCTCAAAACTGCCTCTAATTTTCTTCCATTCCAAAGTGCTGAATGTATATTTTCTTCAATTTTCTGTCCTTTCTTGCCTTGTGTCACTTCAGAGCTCATCTTATCCATGAGAGCCGCCTACAAGTGGTGTCCCTCAGGGGTCGGTGCTGGGTCCATTGCTGTTTGTTATCTATATTGATGATTTGGATGGGAATGTACAAGGCATGATTAGTAAGTTTGTGGATGACACTAAAATAGGTGGTATCATGGACTGTGAGGAAGGTTATCAGAAATTGCAGCAGGATCTTGATCAGCTGGGGAAGTGGGCCGAGAAATGGCAAATAGAGTTTAATACAGACAAGTGTGAGGTGTTGCATTTTGGAAAGTCAAATCCAGGTAGGAGTTTCATGGTGAATGGTAGAGCCTTAAGGATTGTAGTGAAAGCGAGGGACCTTGGAGTTCAGGTGCGTGGTTTTCTGAAAGTGGAGTCACAAGTAGACAGGGCAGTGAAGAAGGCTTTTGGCACACTTGCCTTTGTCAGTCAGGGTGTTGAGTATAGAAGTTGGGAAGTTATGATGCAGTTGTACATGATGTTGGTGAGGCCACACTTAGAGTTTTGGTCACTTTTGTCACTTTGGTTTGGTCACTTTGCGAGAGGAAGGATGTTATTAAACTGGAAAGAGTGCAGAAGAAATTTACAAGGATGTTGCCAGGACTCAAGGGACTGAGTTGTAGGGAGAGGTTGGACAAGCTAGGACATTTTTCTTTAGAGCATAGGAGACTAAGGGGGATATCATAGAAGTGTATAAGATCATGAGAGGCAATGAATGCACTCTCTTTTTACCAGGATTGGGGAGTCGAGGACTAGGGGGAATCAGTTTATGGTAAGAGGGGAAAAAATACATGGGAACCTGAGGGGCAACTTTTTTTACAAAGAGGGTGGTATGCATATGGAATGAGCTGGCAGCAGAAGTGGTTGAGGCAAAGTACATTAACAACATTTAAAAAGCATTTGGACAAATGCGTGGATAGGAAAGGTTTAGAAGGATATGGGGCAAGTGTAGGGAAATGGGCTTAGAGTGAATGCACATTTTGGTTGGCACGGACCAGTTTGGGCCAAAGGGCCTGTCTCCATGCCCTAGCACTCTATGACTCTATGCTCACTTGATGCAATTCTCATGACGCAACCAACCGTCCAAATTCTTCATGTCTCGCTGTGTATCGTCTTCCACATTTGAAAGCTGATATTACTTTGGGTCCTGATGGGTGCAGAGACTGTGTCAGATCTTGACCTGAAGTTTGGTTTGAATTGTAGCTGGAGTTGATAAAACTCTTCATCGTCAGTAAAGCAAAGAACTTCGAATATTTTCCTCTCTTGTTCCCCTCAAATCTGTAAATCGCCATCCCACGCACACACTCTCCTCCCTGGGCTGAGATCCCAATTAAGTGCTGGATAATTCAACAACGTGGTCTAGTTGAGACAATATTCCAAACCAACATTGTGCATCTTTAGCGGACAATGATGCTTGGCTGATTGACGACGGATCCGGACCAATAGGGAGAGTGGGGAGGGTCTGGAGGACCGAATGTGAAGGGGTGGTCCTCCAACCAATCAAGGTGAATGAGCGGGTGGGATAAGGGTAGGGACACGCGATCATTACCGTTAGAGCTCCCGCGCAGGCGCGGTATCACTAACTGAAGTCTGAACGAGAGCGGGAAAGGGAGAAGGTAAAAGGGGGACAGACAGCGGAGAGCGGAAGAAAAATGTAATCAATGTGGACTGGGAGGTTTCACAAACACCCGGTGTAGGCCACCAGATCCGAGTTAAAAACGTTCTGCCGTGCGTTTGCAACAAACCGGAAAACGGTCGTGGGCCTCTTTCGGTGAGACGCCCGAGTTAGCACCGCCATCTTTATTGGGGGCAATTTTCCTCGGGATGTATGCACGGACGCCATGTTAGTAGGGGGCTGCTTTGCGCAGCCTTCCAGGCACGCCGTCAGCTGTATAAAATTTGCACAGGGGAAACCAAGAGAAATGTTTATCTCTTCTGAATTTTTAATCATGGTCTGACTACAGTGCCTTTTATTGAACAGAATTCAGGATTTGAAGATATGAAACTCAAACCAAGCATCGCATCAAGATCTGGCAGAAACACCGGAGACATCAGGACACGTATGTTTGTCATTTTATCTGTGGTTACAGGTTCACTGTACATGGGAAAAGGGGACAGGTCATGAAGGGATTTTAAAACATAATCTGAGAATTTAAATTGACGTGCTGTTTAACTGACAAGTGCGGGTCATTGAGGGAAGTGGTAATCGGTATGCCGATGGGACTTGGAGCAGTGCGCATAGGTCTTCGAGGTGACAAATATATTTGACCAAGGAACTGGAGCGAAATATGGTACCATTGCTGTAAGCTGTCTGGTTCGGTACAAGAAGTTGGCAGGGAGCGGATTGAGTCAGTGGCAAAAAAATGAAGTTTATAGCGGGGACTGAAGATAATGTTTTTTACTGAAGATAATGTCTTCAGGCTCCCTAATATTTAAAACGGGGAAGTTTCCTCTTACCCAGTACCGAATGTCAGACAAGTCAGCCAGTGTTTGATTCAGAGGGTTGATGTTCACAGACAGCAGCTCCTTCAAGGTGGCAGAGATTGTCTTGTTCAGTCCTACTTTAGTTGTAGTTAATATACAATCCCACCCCCTTAGTCACATCCATGTCTTCTATCTTTTTCTCCTTTCACAGAGGCCAGCCCAGGTTGCATGAGCCAGTTGGGTTTTTGTGACAATCCCAGTCATTTCATAGTCACCTTTAACTTGATGCTGACACATAAGTGGGTTCAGAGTGGAGACAGGCCGTTCACTTTAACTTCATTCAAATCAATTTCACAACCTACATTTTGTGTTTTTCTTTGGGGTCCGTCTCACTTTTTTCTATTCAACATCAATTTCACAGGAAATTAGAAGGTGACTGAAACCAAACATCACATCAGCACTTGATGAACTTATCCAATTTGCTGCACTTAAATCATCAAGTTATGAACATGGAAAGAAAAGACACCATCCACAGTGCAGAGAAACCGTACACATGTTCGCTATGTGGACAGGGTTTCAGCCGATCATCTGGCCTGTCAAAACACAAGCACAGTCATACTGGGGAGAAACCGTGGAAATGTGGGCACTGTGGGAAGGGATTCAGTTACCCTTCTGAGCTGGAAACTCACCAGCGCAGTCACACTGGGGAGAGGCCATTCACCTGCTCTGAATGCGGGAAAGGATTCATTCGGTCCTCCCACTTGATGAGACACCAGCGCACTCACACTGGGGAGAGGCCATTCATCTGCTCTGAGTGCGGAGAGAAATTCACTCTGCATTCCAACTTCATGATTCACTGCCAAATTCATAGCGGACGAATACCTTTCACCTGCTCTGTGGATGGGCAGCCATTCATTGATTCAGCTACCCTGCAAAACCAACCTGTTCACACTTTTGAGAAACCTTTCAAATGTCTAGACTGTGGGACGTGCTGTCAAAGTTCTGTGGAACTGATGACCCATCAGCGCGTTCACACTGATAAAAGACCATTCAGATGCTCTTACTGCGGGACTGGGTTCAAGCACTCATCTCAACTCATCGTACATGAGCGACTTCACACTGGGGAGAGACCTTTTAAATGCACAGACTGCGGGAAGTGCTACAAAAGTTCTGGGGAACTGATGTCCCATCAACGGGTTCACACTGACGAGAGACCGTTCAGATGCTTGCATTGTGGGACTGGCTTCAAGCACTCATCTCAACTCACTGCACACCAGCGAATTCACACGGGAGAGAGGCCTTTCACCTGCTCTGAGTGTGGGAAGGGATTTGCTCAATCAGCTGATCTGCTGACTCACCAGCGGGTTCACACTGGGGAGAGGCCTTTCACCTGCTCTGAATGTGGGAAGAAATTCACTCAGCTCGCCCACCTGGTGACACACCAGCGGGTTCACACCGGGGAGCGGCCGTTCACCTGCTCTGAGTGTGGGAAGAAATTCACTCAGCTAGCCCACCTGCTGACACACCAGCGAGTTCACAATGGAGAGAGACCTTTTCAGTGCCCAGACTGTGGGAAGTGCTATAAAAGCTCTTGGGAACTAATGTCCCATCAAC